TGATTTTGGATATTTGCGCGCAACAACAACGCATAGGGACACTGCTTGCGATTTATGAGTTCGGAGAAGGCTGTTTCGACAAAAACTACGGGGGACACTGCTTGCGATTTGTGACTTTAGTGCATGGACAAAATCTGCCTGGATCTACGCGGTGCTGTTTTCTTCCAAAGACGTGGCGCGTAGATCCAGGCAAAGTTTGTCAGTCATGTTTTCTGACAAAAATGATTGGACCAAATCTGCCTGGATGTACGCGGCACTGCTTTCCTTCAAAGACGTGGCGCGTAGATCCAGGCAAATTTTGTCTATCATGCTTTCTGACAGAAATGGTTGGACAAAATCTGCCTGGATCTACGCAGTGCTGTTATATTCCAAAGACGTGGCGCCTAGATCCAGGCAGATCTTGCGATGTGGCTTTTTGGAGGAAAACTTGGGCCCAAAACCTTAGGTACCAGGGCTTGCGATTTAAGTCTTTGCAGCAAAAAAAGACACCACAATCCCAGGGAATAGGGCTTGCGATCTGGCTTGTTGGAGGTAGAATTAAACCCAAAATCTTAGGGACCAGGGCTTGCGATTTAACTCTCTGCAGCAAAAAACCCGCAATCATAATGCAAAAATTTAATTACCTCGAGACCACAGGATCTTAAAGATTACGAAAAAATAAAAAAGATTACAAAACGATTATAAGACTATTATATGAAGATGATAAAAGATGATAAAGATGATAAAAGATGATAAAAGGTGATAAAAGGTGATAAAAAAGATAATAAAAATGATAAAGGATGATAACGATAGAAGATGATTAAGATAAGGATGCTTTCCAAACGAGATCCCGAATTTTGACCCGATTAAAAGATGATAAAAGATGACAAAAAAGATGATAAAGGATGATAAAAAGATGATATGAAGATGATAAGAAAAGCATATGAAGATGATTAAACATGATGGAAGATAATAAAAGGAGATAATAGGAGAGATGATAAAATATGATAAAAGATGATAAGAAGATGATAGGGTAAAGCAGCTGATTAATGTGTGGAAGGGGTTGAGAACGTGAGGGAGTGAAAAGTGAGCTGGGGGAGTAGGCATGGTGAGGGCGTTTGATGGTGGAGAGGGAGGGGGGGAGGGTTGGTGAAGAGAAAAACGTTTTTTTTGTTTAAACTCTTTTTGGATGGTGAGAGAAAGAGGGGTGGTGGTTGGGGGGGGTGCCCAGCCCTGTGCCAGGGCCTTGGCCCCCTTGACCCTCCCTGGCCCACCCTCCACCCCGAGCTGGCTCTCCAGCCCCTCCACCCTTCGGCCAGCCCAGCTCCTTCAACCCCTCTCCGCTCTCCAGCGCCACCGGCCCCAGCCCAGCCCACCCCAGCTCCAGCTCTTCAGCTCAGCCCTTGAGTGGGAAAGGGATGGCGGGTGGGAGAGGGGAGGGGCGGGGGGGGCTGGGGGAACCTCCAGCCCACCCCAAAACACCCCCCCCCCCCCCTCTCACCATTTCGGCCCTGGCCCAGCCCCAGTTCTCAGCCCACCAGCCAGGAGGCGCGGCCGGGGGGGGGGGGGGGGCTGCGGGGAGGGGGAGAGAGGTCTGGTGACTAATCTGGAAAGGTCCCAGAATTAAATTTATTTAAATTATTTAAATTATTTAAATTATTTAAATTATTTAAATTATTTAAATTATTTAAATTATTTAATAGGGTCAATTAAATAATTAAATAATTTAAATAATCTTGCTTATTTAAATTATTTAAATTATTTAAATTATTTAATGGGAGGCAATTAAATAATTTAAATAATTTAAATAATTTTTGCTTATTTAAATTATTTTAATTATTTAAATTATTTAATAGGGGTCAATTAAATAATTTAAATAATTTAAATAAATTAAATAATTTAAATAAATTTAATTCAGGAAACTTTCCAGACCAGCCAGAAAAAAATCAATTAAATAATTTAAATCCCGCAGTTTAATTAAATCATTTAATTGAGCTGTCGGATTTAAATTATTTAATTGCTTTGCTGGTTGGCCTGGAAAGTTCCCGGAATTAAATTTATTTAAATTATTTAAATTATTTAAATTATTTAAATTATTTAAATAAATTATTTAATAGGGGTCAATTAAATAAATTAAATAATTTAAATAATTTTGCTTATTTAAATTATTTAAATTATTTAAATTATTTAATGGGGTCAATTAAATAAATTAAATAATTTAAATAATTTTGCTTATTTAAATTATTTAAATTATTTAAATTATTTAAATTATTTAAATTATTTAAATTATTTAAATTATTTAATAGGGGTCAATTAAATAAATTAAATAATTTAAATAATTTTGCTTATTTAAATTATTTTAATTATTTAAACTATTTAATAGGGGTCAATTAAATACATTAAAGAATTTACATAATTTTGCTTATTTAAATTATTTAAATTATTTAAATTATTTAATGGGAGGCAATTAAATAAATTAAATAATTTAAATAATTTTGCTTATTTAAATTATTTTATTTATTTAAATTATTTAATAGGAGTCAATTAAATAATTTAAATAGTTTAAATAATTTTTGCTTATTTAAATTATTTTAATTATTTAAATTATTTAATAGGGATCAATTAAATAATTTAAATAATTTAAATAATTTAAATAATTTAAATAATTTAAATATATTTAATTCAGGAAACTTTCCAGACCAGCCAGAAAAAAAGACAATTAAATAATTTAAATCCCGCAGTTTAATTAAATTATTTAATTGAGCTGTCGGATTTAAATTATTTAATTGTTTTGCTGGTTGGCCTGGAAAGTTCCCGGAATTAAATTTATTTAAATTATTTAAATTATTTAAATTATTTAATAGGGGTCAATTAAACAAATTAAATAATTTAAATAATTTTGCTTATTTAAATTATTTAAATTATTTAATAGGGGTCAATTAAATAAATTAAATAATTTAAATAATTTTGCTTATTTAAATTATTTAAATTATTTAAATTATTTAAATTATTTAAATTATTTCATGGGAGGCAATTAAATGAATTAAATAATTTAAATAATTTTGCTTATTTAAATTATTTTAATTATTTAAATTATTTAATGGGAGGCAATTAAATAAATTAAATAATTTAAATAATTTTGCTTATTTAAATTATTTTAATTATTTAAATTATTTAATAGGGGTCAATTAAATAATTTGAATAATTTAAATAATTTAAATAATTTAAATAACTTACATAATTTAAATAATTTAAATAATTTAAATAAATTTAATTCAGGAAACTTTCCAGACCAGCCAGAAAAAAAATCAATTAAATAATTTAAATCCCGCAGTTTAATTAAATCATTTAATTGAGCTGTCGGATTTAAATTATTTAATTGCTTTGCTGGTTGGCCTGGAAAGTTCCCGGAATTAAATTTATTTAAATTATTTAAATTTTTTAAATTATTTAAATTATTGAATAGAGGTCAATTAAATAAATTAAATAATTTAAATAATTTTGCTTATTTAAATTATTTTAATTATTTAAATTATTTAATGGGAGTCAATTAAATAATATAAATAATTTAAATAATTTTTGCTTATTTAAACTATTTTAATTATTTAAATTATTTAATAGGGGTCAATTAAATAATTTAAATAATTTAAATAAATTAAATAATTTAAATAAATTTAATTCAGGAAACTTTCCAGACCAGCCAGAAATTATTTAAATTATAGAATTTCTTTAATAGGGGTCAATTAAATAAATTAAATAATTTAAATAATTTTGCTTATTTAAATTATTTAAATTACTTTAATGATTTAATGGGAGGCAATTAAATAAATTCAATAATTTAAATAATTTTGCTTATTTAAATTATTTTAATTATTTAAATTATTTAATGGGAGGCAATTAAATAAATTAAATAATTTAAATAATTTTTGCTTCTTTAAATTATTTTAATTATTTAAATTATTTAATAGGGGTCAATTAATTAATTTAAATAATTTAAATAAATTAAATAATTTAAATAAATTTAATTCAGGAAACTTTCCAGACCAGCCAGAAAAAATCAATTAAATAATTTAAATCCCGCAGTTTAATTAAATCATTTAATTGAGCTGTCGGATTTAAATTATTTAGTTGTTTTGCTGGTTGGTCTGGAAAGTTACCGGAATTAAATTTATTTAAATTATTTAAACTATTTAAAATATTTAAATTATTTAATAGGGGTCAATTAAATAAATTAAATAATTTAAATAATTTTGCTTATTTAAATTATTGAAATTATTTAAATTATTTAATAGGGGTCAATTAAATAAATTAAATAATTTAATTAATTTTGCTTAACTTAATTATTTAAATTTTTTAAATTATTTAATCGGGATCAATTAAATAAATTAAATAATTTAAATAATTTTGCTTATTTAAATTATTTTAATTATTTAAATTATTTAATGGGAGGCAATTAAATAAATTAAATAATTTAAGTAATTTTGCTTATTTAAATTATTTAAATTATTTAAATTATTTAAATTATTTAAATTATTTAAATTATTTAATGGGAGTCAATTAAATAATTTAAATAATTTAAATAATTTAATTTAATTTCACTTATTAAAACAAAGGAAGGAGCTAAATAGACCCGAAAGGTTGCTCTCTCATATATATATATAGATATATATATGCATAAGGGGTTCAGGGTTTAGGGTTTAGGGTTTAGACTCCGCTAGAATCCTAGACCCTGAACCCGAAGCCCTGAGAGGGCTTTAGGGCTTTAGGGGCGGTCTAGGATGTGGAGGAGGCATGGATTTAGGGTTTAGGCTCCAGGGCCTGGGATTCGAGGGTTGGCTTTGGTTCGACTCCACGAGGTTGGGGTTTAGGGTTTGGGGTTTAGGATTTAGGGTTTAGGGTTTAGGGTTTAGGAGGGTTTAGGTTTAGTGCTCTAGGTATCAGGGTTTAGGGTTTAAGGTTTAGGGTTCAGTTTTTTTTTTAATGCTTTCAATGACAAGCCTGCGTCCTGGCCTTTGCCGGAGGCGACAGGGAGAAGCGACACCGGCGCGTGACAAACTGCGAGGCCCCCTCAACTGCACCCTCAACCCTAAGCCCTGTACCCTAAACCCTCCTCAAACAAAGCTTGAAAAGGGTGATATAGGGATTGTATATGTGGCTCCGACTTCCACCAGCCCGAACCCCTAAGCCCAAACCCTAAACCCCCCTAAACCCTTCACCTTAAACCCTAAACCCTAAACCCTAAACCCTAAACCCTAAACCCTAAACCCTAAACCCTAAACCCTAAACCCTAAACCCTAAACCGACCCTAAACCCTAAACCCTAGCTCCTAGCTCCTGAGGTTCTGTGGCCTAAAGTGCCCTAAAACCTGTGCCCTAAACCCTAGCCCGCGGAGGCACAGAAGATCCCGCAGCATTTTGCTCCTATCCGACCACCGCACCTCGCGGCCGGGCCTCCCTACAAAGCTTGGGTTTGAGGTTTAGGGTCCCACGGGTTTCAGTATTTGTGTAGGGTTTAGGGTTTAGGGTTTAGGGTTAGGGTTTAGGGTTTAGGGTTTAGGGTTTAGGGTTTAGGGTTTAGGGTTTAGGGTTTAGGGTTTAGGGTTTAGGGTTTAGGGTTTAGGGTTTAGGGTTAGGTTTAGGGTTTAGGGTTTAGGGTTTAGGGTTTAGGGTTTAGGGTTTAGGGTTTAGGGTTTAGGGTTTAGGGTGCAGGGTTCAGGGTTTAGGGTTTAGGGTTTGCTGGAAGTTCTGAAGGTTCAGGAGGCGTCTTGATGAGGGCAGGTTAGGGTTTAGGGTTTAGGGTTTAGGGTTTAGGGTTTAGGGTTTAGGGTTTAGGGTTTAGGGTTTAGGGTTTAGGGTTTAGGGTTTAGGGTTAGGTTTAGGGTTTAGGGTTTAGGGTTTAGGGTTTAGGGTTTAGGGTTTAGGGTTTAGGGTTTAGGGTTTAGGGTTTAGGGTTTAGGGTTTAGGGTTTAGGGTTTAGGGTTTCGGGATTCGGGTTTCGGGTTTCGGGTTTCGGGTTTCGGGTTAAGGTTCGTTGTAGGTCCGTATAGCGCCCTCGAACCCCGAAACCCTAAGCCCAAAAGTCCTTAATTCCTGAAATCCCAAACTTTTAATTGAACCTCAAGCCTAAACCCTTTAATCCCCAAGAATCCCAAACCCTAAACACCCTGAACCCTCCCCCCTCGCCCCCTTCTCCCCAACCCCAAACGCTTAAGCCCTCAACCCCTGCACCCTAACCCTAAACCCTAAACCCTAAACCCTAAACCCTAAACCCTAAACCCTAAACCCTAAACCCTAAACCCTAAACCCTAAACCCTAAAAACCCCACACTGTCTCAGGGTGCCACAATCGAGCCGCAAAAGTTTCCCGACGGAAGCAAGCTGGTGCTGTCGGCCGACTGCGGTGGCACGACTACCAGGCCTGACTGTTTGAGGGCTCAGAGTTTCAGGGTTCTAGCCTTCAGGCCCTAAACCCTAAACCCTAAACCCTAAACCCTATTCCCTAAACCCTATTCCCTAAACCCTAAACCCTAAACCCTAAACCCTAAACCCTAAACCCTAAACCCAAGGCGCATCTCACCCCAAGGCCCGGCCTGAGCGCATGGACTGGGATGTTCGACTTCTCCGCGACTTTGCGTCATGTTCGGGCTTCGGAGCAGGCATAAGTTGCATGACCATATGTTCTGTATGTATTTGGATACAAATACACAATAAACCATATCATAGCATATCATCTCAGATATGGCACAATATCGCATGATACAATATCATGACATTGCAGATACAAAGATGGGTGTGCTGTTATATATTTGTTCGGGCTCGGGGACAGGGTTCGGACGCAAGTTCGACATTTGTTGTTTGTGTGTGTGTGTGTGTGTGTGGTTCGTTGAAAGGGTCAGGGTTTGGGGTTAGGGGCCAACCTCGACTTCGGGTTTAGGGTTTAGGGTTTGGGGTTTGGGGTTTAGGGTTTGGGGTGTAGGGGCTAGGGGTTCAGGGGTGAAGGCCTCATCACGCATCACCCTAAGCCCCACACCCTACCCCCTACAAGTTGTTGAAGCCACCCGTGGAAAATTCCCTAATCCCTACACCCCAAAGGCCCCAAGCCCGAAAGCCTACTCCCCCAAAAAGCCCCTGGTCCAGACTCATGTTGTATGCCGTGGACTGGAGCGAGCCCGTACCACCAAAGCAGAAGGCAGGCGGGCTTGAGGGTTTAGGGTTTAGGGTGTAGGGTTTAGGGTTTAGGGTTTAGAGTTTAGGGTTGGGGAGGCTTGGTGAAGCTGGATCGTGTCAGCAATACAGGTATAGCATGATCATGTTGTTGGTCATGATACTGATAGTAGTCGTGGTGTTCGTGAGAATGGTATTATCACAAGATTGAGCCATCGCACCAGCGATGGCATGTTTGGCAGGTACATGGCAATGATGACGATCATGGCGGTAGTAAGGGTAGGCATACCCGAGTGACACAAGATCAGCAAACAACCAGATTAAAAGTACATTTATCTACCCTATCCATAGGCATACATGCCCATCCTTCGGTTCTTACTTACGGACATGTGTACACCATCCATGCATACGTGCATGCCTACTTACATACTTTCTTGCGCGCGCGCGCACATGTCTCTACTTATACACGTCTACTTTTCCTCACAAGGCGTTAGCGCGAAACCAAGAGGCAAAGCAAGTAAGTGTTCAAGTCTGCCCGGCACTCTTCATGATACTTGCTGCTTTAGGGTTTCGGGTTCAGGGTTGCGGGTTTAGGGTTTAGGGTTTAGGGCATAGTTCTTCGGTTATCAGACGGAGGCTACATCGAAGAACTTTTGGTTTATGTTAGCATGGTTGAGAAAAGTTTTTAGGTCGTGCCCAGATCTTTTCGCAGTCCTCTTTTTTGGAAGTATCTTGACTTTGGGCTAAGGCGGTTGTAAGATGGGTCATTTGCAATCCGTGCAGGAGTTTGCTACGAATGCTCACATGAAATACGCTGAGCTTCCACCTTTATGGTATCTTTGGATGCTTTCCAATATGTGAGTTCTATTTGAGCCTTCGAGACCCCATGCGTAATATTTCCCTCCCTCTCATTCCCAACTACGTGGCTTCATAAATTCTTCGTGAGAAGAGTTCCATCACAAAAGTGAATGCGTCCGTCATTGTTCATCGGAATCGTCACACACGTGGGGCCTATTCAAGTTTAAACCAGACCGCTGAGAAGCTCCTTCTGTGAAGCTCGGAGGCTCGTGAATCCTTTTTTGTTGCCTGCGAAGAAAGGATAGTACCATCAGCACAGTAGACAGCATCGTAGCCCATCGCGAATACAGAATTATAGATACAGAAACGGGGATAAAAAAGGACATCCCAAACCCTAAGCCCTAAACCCTAAACACTAAATCCTATACCCTAAACCCTAAACCCTCAACCCGAAACCCGAAACCCTAACCCTAAACCTTAAACCCTAAACTCTAAACCCTAAACCCTAAACCCCAATCCATAAGCCCTGGCCACTTCAGGCCCCAGGCACGTTGATTCGGGAAGAGAAGTACCCCAACATTGCCTTCAAGTCGCTCACGGACAGACTGTTCGGGGGGGGGGGGGGGTTGGTTGTTTTTTTAGGGTTTAGGGTTTGGGGTTTTGGGTTTGGGGTTTAAGGTTTAGGGTTTAGGGTTTATTGTTTAGGGGCTTAAGGTATGAGGCCCCAATGGCAGGTGGATCAGAGAGCGGGCGGACACTGGGGGGTATTCTTCAAAACGCTTCGGCAGAATTTGCCTGGCAGCGTTGGCGTTCTCCGGATCTTGACCCTCCAGACTACATGGGGTTTAGCGTTTAGGGTTTAGGGTTTAGGGTTTAGGGTTTTAGGGTCTGTCAGGGTCCCCTTCGGAACCCGACCTCATAGAAGACGACGAATTTGGAGTTTTGCCTGGTTCTGTTGCTTTCATGCTTGTACAAACCCCTAACGTCTAACTAAACCCTAAAACGTTAAAACCCTGAACCCTAAGCCCTAAGCCCTAAACCCTAAACCCTAAGCCCTAAGCCCTAAACCCTAAACCCTAAGCCCTAAACCCTAAACTTTCAGAGGACATCATCCGCACCTTCCTCTTCACCGACTGTGCCCTTCCGGAGGGCTCCTACCCCACGGTGCGCGGGGGTCGGGTTTGGGGTGCAGAAGGGGGCCCTACCCTGAAGGTTTAGGGTTTAGGGTTTCGGGTTTAGGGTTTAGGGTTTAGGGTGTAGGGGCCACACCCTAAGCCTAAGCATAAAACGCCCTAAATTTCAATGCCGACCCTGCACCGGCTTGTGAACCACCTGCCCATCACGCTTGGGGCTGCGGCTCGAGGCCGGTTTAGGGTTCAGGGTTTGCGGTTTAAGGGGGTATGAGTTTAGGGCGTGGTGGCTTTAAGCCCCAAAACCTAACCCTAAACCCTAAACCCTAAACCCGAAACCCTCAACCCTCAACCCTCAACCCTCAACCCTCAACCCTCAACCCTCAACCCTAAACCCTAAACCCTAAACCCTAAGCCCTAAACCCGAAACCCGAAGCCCGAAACCCTGAACTCCGATCCGCATAGGTGGCCGTGCTGGCGGTGGCGGGGGTGGTCCTGAACAATGCGTCAGGAATCCTAGCGCGGCCACGATGGGGAATTGCTATAGTTTAGGGTTTTTGGTAAACAAGGGTGTGGGGTTTAGGGTTGAGGGTTTAGGGTTTAGGGTTTTTGGTGAGCAGGGCTTAGGGTTCAGGGTTCAGTGATTAGGGTTAGGGTAACACAGGAGCCGAAATAAGTTCCACCCTCCTCCGCTTGTCATCTCCACACGCTCTACCCTCGTTAAATGAGCATACTACATTCCATTGTCGGGTTCCTGATAGAAAGTCGGACACACCCTAAACCATGAACCCTAAACCCTGAACCCTGAACCCTAAACCCTGAACCCTAAACCCTAAACCCTAAACCTAAACCCCAAACCCTAAACCCTAAACCCTAAACCCTAAACCCTAAACCCTGAACCCTAAACCCTGAACCCTAAACCCTGAACCCTGAACCCTAAACCCCACACCCGGAAACCACGAAGCCCCACACCGCAGCCCAGCCACGGGGATCAACTCTGGCCCCCCCTCCCACCCGGGACGCTCCCGAGTGCTGACTCCACGCAGGTCTCGTTCAAACCATGGGTTTAGGGTTTAGGGTTTAGGGTTTAGGGTTTAGGGTGGTTTACACTCTGAGAGAGAGCACACGGGAGCGCGGGTCGGTCAGACGTCCTCTTGGTGCCATGCCTGGGCTCAGCGTTGTCGAGCCCGAGATGCACCAGCAACTGGTGCGGCCTCGGAACAAGGCGCGGATTCTGGGGTTTAGAGTATAGGGGGTTTAGGGTTTAGGGTTTAGGGTTAGGGTTTAGGGTTTAGGGTTTAGGGTTTAGGGTTTAGGGTTTAGGGTTTAGGGTTTAGGGTTTAGGGTTTAGGGTTTAGGGTTTAGGGTTTAGCGGGCAGGCCTCGCCAATTTGCATGTTCCTTTGTTTCCTGGCGTTGGTTGAGGAGGACACTGTTTTGGGAAGATGTTCAGAGGGGGTTCGAGGGTGACCTGCAAACCTGCACTAGTTCTCCAGTTCCCTACCAAGCTAGCAACCCTCAACCCTACTTCCCTACCTTAATGACACCTGTGGGTGGCAAAATTTGGGGCAAACTTGCCTGCTTGTGGGCATTTTTGCGGCACCGTTTTGCCTGCTTCTGTGGACATTTTTGCCTCCTTGTGGGCGTCCCCCCGCCCCCCCTTTTTTGCCTGCTTGTGGCCGCCCCCAACCCCCCCCCCCCACCACCCACCCCCCCCGCCTCCTGAGGTTGCCTTCAGAGTGTTTCAGGCCACTCATTCTCTTGTAATACTCATCTTGTTTGTGTGACGGTAGGCAGGAGTTTAACGACTTGTTCTGTAGTCGTAGCCTTCGTTGAATAGAACTTTGTTGTATGAAGATACTGTATATTTTCTTAATGTTATGGGATTCTCCGTGTGGGTGGGTGTTATATCAGAGCCGGATTTCACGACCATAACACTGCTCGTTTCGGAGCTGCTGAACCCTAAACCCTAATTCCTAAACCCTAAATCCTAAACCCTAAACCCTAAACCCTAAACCCTAAACCCTAAACCCTAAACCCTAAACCTTAAGCCCTAAGCCCTAAGCCCTAAGCCCTAAGCCCTAAACCCTAAACCCTAAACCCTAAACCCTAAACCCTAAACCTAAACCCTAAACCCTAAGTAGGTGAGATGGCCAGGTGTTCAGAATTGGCGGCGAGATTTACGACTCCAGCGGAGAGGATGCCCAGCGATGCCCGCTGCCCTTCCTGCCACCGAAGCAGAAGGCGCGCACTCTAGCGTTTAGGGTTTTGGGTTTAGGGTATAGGGTTTAGCGTTTAGGGCTTAGTGCTTAGGGTTTAGGGCTTAGTAAAAGATTTATGGTTCCTTTGGGGGTCTAAACCCCGCCTTTCGAAGGTCTTCGATATGTTCTTCTTCTGGGAGCTCTACGACTACCTCGCCAAGCGGTGCCTGCGGCAGGATGTTCCACTGATGGCGGTCAGGACCTTGGGGGTTTAGGGTGTTAGTGTTCGGGGTTTAGGGAGCCTTGAGAAAAGTATTTTACTTAGGTATTCGGGCCCATTAGGGCAGTTGGGAACCTGGGGGGGGGGGGAATTTTTCTTAGGTACCTTACACCCCACTACATATACCCTTTCTGAGATTGTGCAACCATACCCCACGATGTATGCTTTAAGGGATTATACAGGGTAACCAAGCTTCCCCATTCCCTATGAAGACCCGGTAATCGAAGCACGTCGCAAGCTCGAAGTCCCGAAGCCTCAATGCGCCCTAAACCCTAAACCCTAAACCCTAAACCCTAAACCCTAAACCCTAAACCCTAAACCCTAAACCCTAAATCCTAAACCCTAAACCCTAAACCCTAAACCCTAAACCCTAAACCCTAAACCCTAAACCCTAAACCCCAAACCCACCCCCAAACCCTGAGAGGAACATGTCCTGCAAGATCATGATCGTCTTCAACGAGCCGGACCCGCAGGACGTGAACTTCTTTGGGAGCCTCTCCAAGAAGCTCCTTAGTAGCTGAAGGAGTACAAATTCTCACATTTTGGGATACTATAATCCCCTGTATTTAGTTAAGAACTTTAGGGTTTAGGGTTTAGGGTTTGGGGTTTAGGGTTTAGGGTTTAGGGCATCAGCAACTAAGGTTCTGCTCCTGGAAGGACATCCGAAGGTCTCTTTTGACCGAGGGCCACCCGCGCCTCGGGTGCGCGCTGAGTAGGGTTTAGGGTTTAGGGTTTAGGGTTCAGGGTTTAGGGTTTAGGGTTTAGGGTTTAAAGAGGGTTTAGGGTTTAGGGTTTCAGGGGCTTTCGTTTAGGCTTGTTTCTGTGTATACTTCGCTTCAAAGTGCACGCCCCGCCCTCGAAATCGGCTGACATGATGGTCCTACTATCTGGGGGGCTATATTAGGGTCCCTTATTGTCGTAAATCCACAAGTTTTCATGTTGTTATGGGACCCTCAACCCTAGACCTTCATAGACCCCCCAACCCCAAACCTAAACCCTAAACCCTAAACCCTAAACCCTAAACCCTAAACCCTGAAACCCGAAACCCGAAACCCTCAACCCCCCAGTTAAGTAGGGAATTCTCAGGACCATCCAGCTCACCACAGTGGAGAGGATCTTCCTTATTTTTGACGACGACCAAAGCTGCAAGTTGGCCCAGGCGGCTCAGGGTTCAGGGTTCAGGGTGTAGGGTTTAGGGTTTAGGGTTTAGGGTTTGGGGTTTAGGGTTTAGGGTTTAGGGTTTAGCATTTAGGGGTTAGGGGTTAGGGTTTAGGGTACAGACGACGGTACATGTAGGAAGAGTCCTTACATGATATGGGGGTTTACGAGAATAAGGGACCCCTAATATAGATCCAAATAATTCCCATATCATTAGAACCCCAATAAGGCGCACCTATTGTCGGAAACGCCCATATGAGGATCCCTTTCCTAGCGAAGGGGTACTGGAGTCTCTCTGTCTTTTCTGTGTCTTTCGTCTCGCGTCTCCGCAGGAGTTGTGTTGATATTTCCTCGCAAGTCCTACACCCTGAACCCTAGACTCAAAGCCAAGGACATACAGAAGCAACACACAAGAACTATGCTTTTAAGGGAAGGGAGCGCTGGAGGTTTTTGTAGGCTTCGCGGTTCGGGGCCAGGGGGGCATTGGATCAGCCAGAAGGCTAGGGTCTAGGGTTCGGGTTTGGGCTTTCGTATTTGAAGACTAGGAGGGTTTCAATGCCTCTGCTCCCCACTTAGCAGAAGCAATCTAACGGACATTACTGCGTACTCGGAACAATACAATTTCCCCATTCCTGGTTATACATAGTTTCGGGGTTTCGCGTCGCATTGGTTGGGAGTGGTTGGAGGGCAGAACGAAAAACCTAAACCCTATACCCTATACCCTATACCCTATACTCTATACCCCATACCCCATACCCTAAGCCCTACCCGAAACCCAAGACTTTAAACCCTTTGTGGGAGAATCGGCCAGGTCTGGTTCTGGTTCATCTT